CATGTTCGATCATATAATGTACTTCAAAAGACAGTTCAGATGTATATTTATCCAAATCGATTACTTTTGTTGCCGGACGTACTGATATGGGTGATGTTACATTAAGTGGAGAATTTGTAGCTTGAGTAATTTTTTTCTCCAAGGCCTCGTGTGACATGTTTTGAGGACATAATGGCATGTTTCTTACTGATTTGAGAGGAACGTCAAATTCGAGCCGATACACGGTCCAGTTGCTCATATTGATTGTATGGTTAGGAAAACGACCACCAGGAACGACTGGATCCTTACTAGTAGCGGTCGCTCTATGTTTCATAATATCCCGAGAAAATTCGTCCAAGGGTATCTCAACCACCCGTTCCCAGTGTTTCAAATGATAATGATCGTCTAATTGTTGCATGGGGATTTTTGATTTCCAAAAATGAGCTGGGTACTTTCCAATAATCGTAACGGACGAGATATTATCGTGACGTTGTAACAAAATTATATTTTTAAAATCTTTCTCATCGTAATCAATACGAAAACGATAATAGCCATCCACATGTGCAAAAAAAATATCGATATAGTTCCTGTTTAGGTTGATGTCAAATGTGACAAACTCCTGTGTCGTCCACTCCTCAATAAATGCGTGTTGTGTGGCCAAACCTCCCAAGGAAAGTTTATTTGCTGGAACAGGTGTACTTTCTTCTGACAAATAGTCGGATAATGGGATCTGCTTAATATGTATTAAGCGGTCGTTGATATATATCAAATGTGTATGTAGCTGATCCAAAGGTTTAAATCTAATCAATTCAGTTATTATATCAAAGTTTATATAACAAAAAAGGAAGTTCATATTTACGCATAGATTACTGCTGCTACTGACAATTCTGTCTTAAGCTCAATTTGCTTTATAGTTCCAAAATCGCCAAAAACTTCCCATAATTTTTGACGATCTGTCTTGGGGCTGAGGTTGGTAATAATATAACAGTACTCGCCGTCGTCTATACATTAAAGGAAAGGGGTTAAATTTATTGGCACTAAGTTGTTCTGCAATTGAATGTCTAACCTGAAAACCTTGGGGACGACATTTGAATGAGAAGATAAAAAATGAAAAAAAGAAAAAAAAAAAAAAAAAAAAACTGTGTCGGTTGATGAAATTAAGTTTTACTGCTCAGAAAGGACGGGCCTAAGCAGTAGTGTTATCATGTCTTTGGTTTACACAAATATGAAACTTTTAAAGGAGAAATACGAGTAGTTTTATATCAGTTATAAATAATAGGGTGGTATAGGAAAAAACTTCTACGATATATATAATCTGGGTGCTCATATGACAGAACTAAGCCCTTTAGGTATTATTATTTTAAGTGTGCGGCTGTCAAAGAAACATTTTACCTAGTCACGAGTTTCTACACTGTTACGTGAGAGGTTTATATTTTGTAAACACATTTAAAAATGCCGTCAACATCGAAAATGATACAGTAACAGCTCATTATTTTAACTCTCTGAACGTGATCTAAGATAAACTGACATATATTTGAAAGGGTAATTACGATTGTTTTTACTTTCCCTCCTATTTATATAAATCAAATTTTATCGAACAGTTGCGGTTAGTTTTCGAGAGCAAGCTTGAGCAATTGAGGCCATTGGGTAAAGCGGTTTAAACAATAAGAATCAGAAATGCATGCAACAATATCAGTGCCCCTTAATGATTTTCGACATTTTAACAAGAAATTTGATAAGTGCGTTCAAACACATTCTATCAATTACGTTTCTTTTATTCGTTTCGCTCGTAGATTATGCAAAAAAAGTTGATTTACTTCTGAAGAAAATATCCATGTCCTTTGCCCCTGATCGAAAATTTGTTTTTAAAACGAAAGAATTTTTTTTTTTTTTTTTTTCGTCAAACTTGTGTTGAATTGTGTATACCACAACATCAAAGTCCACTTTATGAAAAGACTATGTTGGTCGTTCATTCGGCGCGCAAAGTAGTTATTAGACCTTTTTTAGACAAGTTATTCTTCCAGTATTGCTTATTATCCAAGTATAATTCTCCTTTCATTTGCATAAAAAAAAGTCGTAAACTCTACAGCTATAACATGACATTGCGAGATCCTGAGTAGCCTGCAGGATCACACTGTCTCGTAGTAGGGTAATCTATCAACACAGGACTGATCTTCAATTTATGAGGTGCATCAAGTAGGTATTTAATCAAAAAAAAAAAAAGAGCTTTTTTTCGGGGAGGACAACTTGCTCTTTTTCTTTTTATCCTACTGCAATCGCAATTTACAATGGACGTCTGTAAGTGTGGAAGTACGCCCATTAGTTTAGAAGTTAAAACTGCAGGTAAAAATCGTGGCCGATGGTACTTAAAGGTAAAAAATAACAATAATAAAAAAGCACCACTATCTTTTTCTTTTCTTTTCTTTTTTTTTTGACAACCCAACCCGACGTTTTTTTTTTACTTAATTTTTCCCCACACGTTAAAAGTGCCCCACTGGTGTATGTTCTTACTTCGTGTGGGATGAGTCTCCTCACCCCTTTATCAAGCATCCAGAATATGCCTATGCCTCCATTATGCCTCTTAGTGGACAACGATTGAATTCGATCAACAAATTCAGAGCGAGTCAGAAAGACAAGGAGACATCATTAACTAAGACCAAAGTACGCGTGGCCTTTAGCGTTATTTCAAAGGACCTCATTGGTATTAAGGCAGAACAAAATTTGACTTTGGATCCCGTCATTGCAAATATAGAGCACATCGAATGGAGTGCCAAGTATGGACAATGGACCATACCGGCCTCAGTGCCGATGTATAATCTCGCCCTTTCCTCTTTGCCAACAGACACACCGAATCTACTGATCGACATCGATCCCATTCCGACAGCCCTTTTGGATAGTATTATTCAGCGAACGCTATCAGCGCAGAACGCAGGACAGCGTGATTTGAGTGATTTGAGCTACATGGAAAGTAAGTGGACGGAATTTGTTGGTTCAGAGACTTGGACAAAGATGGGATCATCCATCCAGAGAAATGCGGTTCGTGTAGGCATCGAGAGAAATTGTCGTATTTTATTCGGGAACGAGAATGGAATTGGATCTGTCCAGCAAGCATTGGCGTTGACGAAAGTGTACGAGGAAGAATGGCCTGTGATGGTAGCCTGTCCTGGCATTTTGTGTCAGACGTGGAAACGAGAAGTGATGAGTTTTTTGGATCTGGATGAAGAAGAAGTGTGTATTATGGACCCTAAATTACCAAAAAGCGAGGCCTTCAAACAAACTACTACGATGAAAAGGAAACGAAAGGAACCAAGCGTTCGTATGTCATACGCGAAGAAAATGCAGCAGCGACTAGAGGGTGCATACGAGAGTGACAGCGAAGAAGAGGAGGAGGAGGATGAATATACGACCACTAACAACGTGAAATTCTACATTGCCAGTCATGAACATACTGCTAAGCGAAGGAATGAGATTCGAGCACAAAAGTTTAATATCATGTTATGTGCGGATAGCCATTACTTGAAATCATGGACGGTAAATTAAAATTGCGTGATGGCTACCATGCCACTGGACTCTGATTTTTACTAACGATGTCGTATTTCATTACATTTATATGAGTAGAAAGGTGAATCCAAGTTTATCTGCACATTACTACAAAGTCATTCGAAGTCAATCCTGATATCTGATTCAGCCCAAAGCTGTTTACCAGTCAATATGTACACACAACTCCAAGCAGTAGCACCTGTGATGTTTCCAAAATTCGAAGAATTTGCCAAGCGATATTGTGATCCGAAGAGTTCGGTATTTGGACCCACACACAATGGAAGATGCAACCAATATGAATTTACATATCTGCTGGACACAAATATTTGGTACTGTCCTAGGCTAGATGAACTGAAACCTGAGTTTCCCGATTATGTGCGACAAAACGTTTGTTTCAGTATCAAGAAAAATGCACAATTAAGTAAGCAAGTGGAATCATTGGATATTGGTTCGGGTTTGGATCTTGAAGAAAAAATCGATTTGATTGAGGAACTGGTAATAAGATTTTATTTTACAAATGAGTATCAAATAATTGACAATGGGTTATCGATTTATTTATTTTTTGCAGCACAAGAAGACGGGTGAAGCGAAAAAGGATGGAATCAACGAATACATTGCTTACGTGCTTGAGACTTACAAAAGGCCGAAAGTAGCATTCATCTATCGTAACGAGCAAGTTCTCAGGAACTTGGAGGAGTGCTTGAAATCGAAACGAAGTAAATTCGTGAATTTAAATAACTATGATTCGGCAACGGAAACCTGTGATAATTACAACAAAAGCCATGCTGTGCAAATGATACTGATAGATATGAACTTGGAGGGTCTCGACGTATCTTTACATTGTGTGGATATAGGTATTATTTTTATTTTTTATTTTTGTTTTTTGTTTATATATGGTGATATGTAGAGGTTGATAAATTAACCAAGTTTTAATCTAGTTGTTTTTGTTGAATTACCGCTAGAAATGGCAAAGCTTTATGAAGTCGAGTCATTTTTTAAGGTAGGTTAAAACGACAATGTCTATTTATAAACCTATTTAATTTATACGTTCTTTATATAGAATAACGCCCGGAAGGGTCCACTAAGTATCAAGTATTTAATGGCCCTGAAGACAATTGGTATGTTGAATACATCTTTTCTTTGTGATATAGATTTTTCTTACCTCTTAATCTAGATGATTACCTTTGGCCATTGATCCAACAGTAAAGGGACCAACAAATACAATAGTAAACCACACTGTAACAAAAAAAAAGTTTTGAGTGTGCAATTACTTCGCAAACAAAACTAAATCCCTTAATTATTGTTGTATAAACAAGTAAAAATAAGCTAATTACACAATATAAACCTTTGACACATGCGTTAAATTTATTAAAAAGGGGGTGGGTAAAGGGATTAAATCTCGGGTAAGGTAACTCGTTTTCAAAAGGGGAACATATGTACTTTTTTTGTAAGGTTACACGCTGCTTTTTGGTAACATTTTTAATAAAGGTGAAGCCATAATAGCGTCAGGTAAATCATTGGATTTTACTCCTGATGGTGTAGGAAGTAATGAATACGAAGAGGGTGCAGAAGCAGCTTTTATGTCTGCAGGGAAATCGCAATAAAGTGCACCGGCTAAATTGGAAGTAAAAAAAAAAAAGTGAATATTATGTTGTACAATGCTTTCTTTTTTTGTTTTCCCTACCATTTATCCCGTCAAAGCATACAAGACCCGAAGCACAGTCACGAGATAACCATTTACCAAAGTTACAGGTCAACCATTGAGTTGACTCACCCGATTGAAGACACATTTGATGGCCTGAATTGGAACATGGACCACCATGAATAGCCGTCACAGAACCAGTAGCGGGGTCGGCTTGGACAGAAGAGGCATAGTCTGGTTCAGCTGACGTAGTACTGACTGGTGTAACGGATGTAGACGATGTGGGAGTATAAAGACCAGATGACACTGGTGTATCTAATTCAGAAGCTATGTCTGTAACTGGTTCAGATGATGAAAATGTAGTATCAACAGACGATGTAGGTGTTTGGACTTCAGATGAGGAAGGGGTATCAGCTACAGACGATGTAGGCGTATCAAGTGCAGCCGATGCAGGCGTATCTACTACAGAAGCTGATGTGGTCTCCATAGAAACTGTCTCAACTTCATCATCATAGAAGTCTTCCAGATCATCAGCATCGCCAGACCATTCGGAATCACTCGTGGGGGCAGCGGGGGTTGATGAAACAGGAGTGCTATTAAGCTCTCCATTAACATCACTTTCAGGGACTTCTTCAGGGTCATTTGAATTTGTAGTGAGAGGATTAGAACCACTGATTGAATTTGGGCAGGAAGAAGGAACAGAAGTATGAATCTTGTTCACGACATCCAACAATTCACCGTTATCTTGATGGATATCCCTAATTGTAATAATAACAGATAAGATAGCTGATTCAAAGGGCCAATATTATTCCTGTCTTACCAAACCATAACACCACCTAAATCTTCGCAAACAGCATGCTCCACTTTTATATTTAAAGATTGAGGGTCATCATATGAGATGAAATTTTTAGTCTCAGGGTTAAATAACCAAGGAGTTTGGGAAACTTCATCCCAGTTACGTTGCCATCCCTCACCGGGTGTAACGAAATCGTCTTTTAAAAGACCTTCTTTACGAAGATTGGACCACTTCCAGATACCGGAAAGTCCTCCAGGTTCCTTGTTACAATAAGGATCATCCCAATAAGCATCATCAGAGTCTCCTTTAGGAGCACCAGCAACGGAATCTTGAAACTGACTCTTATCTATTGTCATATCACCCTGAGCCTTCATGGAACGGCCATAGAAAGCTAAACCGGCAGTTATCTTGTTGCTTGGAACACCGGCGGCTTTCCAATCTCGTATACCTAAATTATCCCGATTGTTAGAATGCTATAAAAGGTAATTTTACGATTTTGTGTGACAGTACTTTCGACAAATGAAAAAGGTGCACCTTTGCCGTCCCCGGCCACTTGAAAGGGGGCATTAGGGCCCGTGGTGGAAGCCCAAGCACCATTAATGTCTATGAATAGCGAATGAGTTGAGGTATACAACAACAAAAAATATAAAAGGTTTACCGTAGGTCATTAAATTGACATGGTCGAAATAAGGAACAAAAGCTTTGAGGTCGGTCATTGGTACGCCGGATTTGATAAAAGGTTGAACATGGACGGCCATCGAGATTTCCTTGTGTTCGTTGGGATATTTTGTATCCAGTGCCTCACGTAATTCTTTGAGTAACAACAAAAAATTGTCTGCATCATTGTCAGCAAATTCATTACAGCCAGCTGCCTGCTTTCCGGGATATTCCCAGTCCAAATCCACGCCATCGGTACTGTACTTGTCAATGAAGTCGAGATTCCAATCAATGAATTTCTGACGAGAATCAGCAGAAGCTACCATAGGACTGAATCTTTTGGAGCCGGTCCAACCTCCTACTGATAACAAAACCTTGGTTTTGTTTTCATGAGCGAGCTTGACAACTTGGGGTAAATAGGCTTCGATAGCCCAATCATCAGAGAAAGATGGGATATTGTCGGGATTATTAAGTATGGCAAATGCTATTGTACGGGAGGAGCACATGATTAATATTAAATGTTTATCTGATTTCATCCGTTAATGCGTACCGTAATTGATGTGGGTATACTTTGTAAAAGGGATGTTTTCTACTGGATAGTTAGCGTATAACCAGTTCGGGAAGTATCTGAAATGTTGCATGTTAAAAAAAACAGCATATCTTACAATTATATGAGTTATTTTTATTTTTTTTACCCAATCACCATTTTTGTGGAACCTTCGCACAGAGCAACGGCGGATGCAAGTGCTGCAGCAATCAATGACAATCTCATGTAGTAAGTTCAATGCAGAAAAGAAGAATAAATAAATGAAAAAAACTAATGAAGAAGGGATTTATATGTAAATTATCTGTTTTACTGGTATGTCAGTATTATTTTAAATTAAGGGTGTTATTTTATTTTTTGAACAGTTTGGTTTGATCGTTACCCCATTCTCCGCATTGGAAAATTTTTGTGGCGTCTCAAGTCATGTTAGCTTCAGAAAGTCGGTTATTGAATACAAGGGCCTGGCCCACCTTCAATTGTCTTCACATAATACACAACTCCCCTCCACCCCTTGATTTTCTTTTTATCTATTTTTTTCTTCTTATTTTTTCCCTTTTTTTCTTTCTTCATATATTTTTTTTTTTTAATTTTTTTTTTTTTTTTTTTGGATTCTTGAAAAATGAGCACACACCGTAAAAAAAAACCAGTGGAATTTCATTTTGTAGATATGAATGATCCTGATCGATACAAGAAGCTAAAGGTCGCTCGTGCTTGTGATTTTTGTCGTCGTCGCAAGTCAAAGTAATAAAAAAAAAATAAAAAAATATATAAAAATAAAAATTTAATTTATGTTTGTGCTAGATGCGATATCGGTATTCCAGGTTCCGGCACTTGTTCAAATTGCCTAAAACACCAAATGGTTTGCATCTTTTCTCCTGTTACAACTACCCGGGGAAATGAAATTATACGCCCTGAGCCACAGTTCAACATGTATGACCAATTCCTGATTAGATTCCCTTTACTTTTAATAAAAGACGGGCAAGCCGGATATGAAACGAACCTAATTGAGACTCCTCCTCCTCCTCCTTCACCAATACAACAACAACAACAACAACAACAACAAATCGACACTGAACCGTCCATTAATTTGGAATCAAAGCTATTTGAACTCTATTTTGACCATATTCATCCCGCATACCCAGTTCTGTTAAAGCAGTCGGTCATGAACATACATTCTCAAGACAGATTATTACTTTCCAGAGGCTTGCGTTACGCTATCATGGCATTAGGTTCATATTACTTTCCATCACATTCATTACCGTCCTTATATTCGATAGCACAACAAGAAGTATCAACATTAACACCCCGGTTAGACTCTGTACATACATTGCTTTTATTATATAAACATGACGAAATTCATACTTCATCTGGCCACGGCATATATTTTTTAGAAAGAGCGCAAGAAATGATTGGTCAAATACAATCACTAGTGCCTCAACATCAAGAAATGATTAACCGTGCTCGGTGGATCCTATTTAGTTCCATTGGTTTCTCTAACCTATCCGATCCGAATTTCAACAATTTATACACCATGATTGATTGGATGACTTCCAAAATGCAAAATAGAATTAAATAGAATAGAATTAACTCCGGGAATTTGATTTTCCGAGTTAATTTTTTTTTGTTCCAAAACCATAAAATAGAATTAACTTTCAATAAATTTTATTAATTTTCATAATTCAAAATTTCTTGCTCTCTCGCCTTCCAATTAGCATAGTAAACAGTATTAATTTGGTTGACGCCAACCGTTCTTACACTGAAGTTGTGTAGTCTCCATACAAGGGTCAAGATTTCATAACGCTTAATTTTATCCGAAGGAAGCTTGGTATGAAGTCTTCCAAAAGACCCTTGTATGGCTCTCATACCCCATTCCACTGCCTGTCTATGCTTGGTAATGATAGCATGTTTCTTTTGTGTCTGCACGTTGGCTCTTTCAATGCCAATTGCGTTTTCTCTTGGTACACTTAGCACTTTGTTTTCAAACTCTCGCTTACAAGGGAAAGCAGAATCCGCAAGAAGCTTGAAAGGGCTTGGACATTTGTAAGCAAGAAACCTTTCGTAAAGTGGAATTGCTATTTCGGCATCATGCCAAGAACCAGGACAGTTATATCTATAAGAAAAAGAGTCAATTTAGTTTTGTTTGTTTAGAGAATCAAACAAGTATGTCAATCCTACCTCACATAGGCGATACAGCCATCCGGGGTATATACTAAAACTTGTGAGGCATAGCAATCACCTTTCCATCCGTTATAGTACGCATTTTGCTCGAATGGGTCTTCAGGATGTTGTATTCTAAGGTTAAGACCGTCAACAAAGCCAAACACTCCTTCTAACACCTGTTTCTCAAAGTCATTTGTGGTGTTCGTAAGCACCATATCGTTAAACGTTGTCATTTCATCTGTAGTGGGCCAACCAATTTTCCAACGAGGGTCTTTTTTGTTTTTTTCAAAAACGTTTAAGAGGGTTTGAATACCCATAGTTTTAAATCTACTGAGTGTTGCAGCAGGGACACCAAATATTATACAGAGTGTCTCCTGCTTCATGGTGTTATGCAACCACATCAGAACCAAAGCAAGTGTCATCACCGTGTCAAGTACTCTTTTACGTCCAGCCGTGCATTCGGTTGGATATTCTTTTTGGAATTCTTCGTGTAATTGATCGAATGCTCCAGTCGTCAAACCAAAATGACACATAAAGGCATCATCCTGACGACCATCAAGCAACCTTTTAGCAGCCGATTTAGTAGGTGAATGCAGACTTTTTGACGTTGTGTAGAATCGTTTAGAAATACGGCGTTGAGATTCAAGATAATTCATGTACTGATAGGCAGCAGCAGAAAGCAAAGTAATATGCGATAATAATGCTAATTTACGCTTTGTTATAGGGGGCATTTTGTATCAAAAATATAAAGGGGATAAAGAAAAAGGAAATGGATGATAAAAGAGAGATTAACTTGTATTTCGTTACCAATACAAAAGTGACAACAATTGGGTTCCACAACATCGAATCTCATAAGTCACGCCATATTATCCCAACAAGATGATTGATTCAAACAAGTCTGACATAATAGCGTGCTTTATTAAACAACGTGTTATAAAAACCATAATTTTCGCTTTTTAAAAAAGCCTTTTTTCTTTCTTTTCATATAACTTAATAAAAATAACAATGGGCAACGTAACAGGATCTGTCAGAATGACTAAAGATGAAAAAACCTATTTACTGAAAATAGTAAAGAAGGTTTTGCCAAGTGGAGCGGACGAATGGTCCCGTGTAAGCCAAATATATATGGCTGGACAAAAAAAAATTGTCGAACAAGAAAACGAGGCCATCAGGTTGGAAACAGGAACCAAGGGAACGAAGGTTGCCTATGAGCGTAGCGGCAACTCTTTGAAGGCGGCTTATCGTACATTGAGAACGGCAAAAGCACCAACAGGTAAATTATCATATAATTCGAGGTGTAATGAAAGAAATCTTGCTAACAATGATACAAACAAAAAAAATCTATTAGGCAACTCAACCCCAACTACTTTGATTACTGATGCAAAAACAATTGAGGACCAAATTGCAATCAAAGGCTGCTTATCACAGCTTCATGGTCACACGGATTCCGAGGATGAAGAGAAAGCAAGCCGCATGCATCATGGAGGTAGCGGCTTTCGCTCAATTGATGATCTGGTAGAGCAGAGTTTAACAGACAGTGACAAGAGTGAGGCATCTCCTCGTGCAGTTGGTAGAACGGTGCCAATGCCAAAGAAGTCCAAAAATACCCACCAGCATATGGAGGACTTCAACAACCATTTTGGTGTCCTGGCTGAGGCAATTGCGTTGTCTCTTCGGGGAGAAAATGAACCAAAACCATCGGTCCCAACCACACGTTCCGAAATGACCAACGTGACCGATGTCAATTTGGAAATGATTGAAAATCGTCTTGGAGCTGTTGACAATCAATTTGAGGAGGTCAACATTCGCCTGGATGGTGTGAAAAATGGCCTCAAAAGTGAACTCAATGATGTCAAAAAGGAGTTCAACGAGTTGAAGGAGACGGTAAATTTAATCAATATGTTGATTCGTATCATATATATAAACTCTATCTAACCGACTACATTATCAGATGTCAGCGATGTTTGAATATATCAAGACATCGGTAGCTAAGGTAGTTTAACTATTATAAATCATGTTTTTTTTATTCGTACTAAAAACCATAATCTTTATATGCACATTAGCAACCTATTCCTACTTCTGAAAAGGGCAAAGGCACCCGTTCCCAGAAGCGTAAAAGAGCCGAATAAATAAACGTTTTTGACAAATATTATCCATACATCTCATATCTATTATCTGCATATTATTAGCGTTTATCAGAAACAAAGTATTTAATAGAAATGTTTTTTTTTTTTTTTTGGAGTTAATTCTATTTTAATTCGGGGGGGTAGGGGGGTCGAATTAACTTCAAAAATTTAAGCAGTGAAATTTAAGGTTAATTCCACGTTACACAACCCAAAAAATTAAGTCTATTCTATTTAATTCTATTTTGCATTTTGGAAGTCATCCATTTACCGCTCGAATTACCTCAGGCCTTGGCAGAGGAGTTGGATTGTGAAAATGATACATGTTCGGCTCAACTTGGTGTAAATCGGTTTGCTCAGATTGCAAATCTAAGCGTTCTGTATTCTCATACTGTTCAAAGTATGATTACAAATTCAACCTGTCAGTTAATCTGTTTAAAGCAGTTTAAGGAGATTAGACAACATTGGCATGATTCTTTACATCCCGTCACTCAAAGTAGACTAGTCTTGCTGTGTCCAACAGATGAAGAAGAGATAGATATCATGATTTTGTATAGCGCTGTACTATACGATATGCTATATTTGCTATTGTTATCTCACTATCATCTAGAAACCGAATGGGACCGTATCGAAACTGCCTATCGATTACAACGAATGGTGCATACGCTTGTCAGGCGGCCTTATTTCTCCAGTGCCATACAGTCCAGGCGAATGTGCTGTTTTGCACTCATGCTATGCTTACAATCAAATATATCAAGAGAAGACGATAAAATCGATAGTGATTTCGTTGACCAAATAAGACAGTCAATGCAATATATAAAACTCGACGCAAGAATTGACAAGGAATTATCCGATTTATACACAATGTTGAACAGCCAAAACAACGTATTGACACCACAAATACAACAACCACAACAGTATCAACAGCAAGACTATTTCAGCCTAACCCCACAACAGTTTAATTCGACCACAACATCTTCGCCTGTAGATAATTTAGCAAACACACCTGGATTATGGTCGACCACGACCAATGGTGGGCTGATCACGCCTATTCGAGAAGACGTAGGAACGAATAGCCAGATTACTTCAGAATGGATTTTGGAGCAGCAAAGACAACACGATCAACAATTTCAAACATATCAATTACAACAGTTGCCACAATACCAAACTAGGATTCCCTCATACAATAATTATAGCAGTAGCAGTAATAATACACCATTAGCTACCACACCCAGCTACATGAATACCAATAATAATAGTGAAGATTATTTCTATTTAAATCCAGGTCATTGGAGTCCATCCATTGATCAACTCAATCAAAGCACGAGCTATCTCAAAATACATAATAACGATCAGCACCATAATACATTTACATTACATCCACCACCACCGCCACCACCACCACCTCCACCACCAGCACATTAGATTTTATATACCTGTATATAAAAATAAAATAATACCCCCCCCCCTCCCTCCTCCCCCAATGCTTTTTTGTTCTTGTGTTTTTTTATTATTATTAATATTATCGCTCTTGTCTTTCATCAATAATACCGGCCATTTTTAAAAGCTCCTTATCTAAATTTCCATCTGCTTGTCTTATGTTTAAACCATTTCTTCGTTCAGCTTCTTGTTGATCAAACTTCCACTCTCGAGCCTGTCTTTCCCGGTCTTTTTCGTTGCCTAAACCGAACACTTCGATATTTTCCGTGTCAAAAGGGCAAGTAAAGTTGAGATGTCTTCGACTTTTGGTAGCACTTTCGAATGTGGGTTGAGAAGGATAGGCTTCGTTTTGGTATAGGCCTTCCTGTAGGGTATTTTGCAAGTACAAGATAAATCCGTTGGGTGTTGGATGATTTTCATTGGACCCAAATCCGATGCCAAAATCATGATGATAATAAATGTAATTTTCCGTCTTATTAATACCTGTGGATCGAAAAATGTCGAATTGAGGATCCAACTCAAATAAGAAACATTCACTTGATCCCCAGAAATGTTTGGATTGTTTCCATGGTTGTGTGATAAATGCTCCCAACGTCATGGATCTTTCTTTATTGGACACTTGCATCACCAGTAGTGTTGGGCCCGGGTATTTAAACACATGAGACTCAAATCGATTCATCGAAAAGCCGTCTCTGTCTGCAGAGTATAATCGTGTCCATTGTTTAGTTATCAGAATTGTTTCGGGTAAAGCCCATGATATCAATGTAGAATATAAGGGTGTCAGTATATCACTATCATCTACAATAGGTACTTTATCTGGAGGTAATAATCTAGATTCATCACTATTATGATAGGTAAATGACTTTGTGATAAGTGACTGTAGTGGTTTAAACAGATGAGGTGAAAACGCATCTTTCCACTGCCTTAATAAACAATTTGAAATACAAGGCAATTCTTCGTCTTCCAGGGAGGATGGCTTAATCGTGTTTACAATGTTGACAGCCATTTGCCGAATACGCTTGAAATCATGTGAAGGCTGATCTGCCTCACCAAGCCACAATAGTAAAACAAATAATTCAACAAGATCGCGACACAAGATCTTTGATCCATCATCCTTGTCATCCTCATCTGGTTTAGGGTTGAAATCTAAATCACTAAAATCAACGCCGAGTTCAGCTAAAGAAAGTCCCTTGGATGAACGATCAGCATGTGTCTCTTTAGGTGGTTCAACAATAGCTGCTTTCTCTTCCGGTATGGGTAATATGGATAATGATTGGAAAAATAATGATTCTGATAAAATGCAACCGGGGATTTCATTATCGAGGCGTCCCACCAGAACTACAAAGGCAGTGATAAATGCGTCAAATGAAAGAGGCACTGGTCCTGCTACAGTACAGTTAGGATAAGAACCCAAGTATGAAAATGATTTGAATAATAATACAGCAGCAGGTTCAACTTGTTGTGGAAAATTTAAATGTTCCTACTTTTTCTTATTAGTTTCATATACAAGGTGAGAAAATTGCAATTTTTACCAAGAATTTTTTGGCTTCAACACAACTAAAACCATCAGGAAATGTCGACTGTAGTTGTTTGAACGTATGCTGTAAAGACACAATCTCAACTCTCGTCAAGTGCTTTTTTGGTTTAAAGTTGGACTTTATAGAAGGTCTCGCTGTTGGCTTTTCTTCTACTGTTTCTTTTCCGTGTGTTTGGCCCATGATAATGAAAATGAATAGCAAATAAAAAAGGTGTTGATATTTTTCTCACACACACACACACAGACAGACATGCGTCATTAATTCATGATTGAAATGCCGAGCTAAAACGGTCTTTTAAAAATATTTGGCATTTGTGTGATACACACATTCCTTTAACAATTGTCAGATAGATCAGAAAAGGTTAATCATTAATTATTGTCCGAGAATAAGTTATCTTCATTTCGACCATCGAATGTCCATATACATTTTTCCCCTTTTTTAATCAGTTTTTTCTCATTTATTTGTTGTTTCTCTTTATTTTCCTTTTTTTTTCATCATGACACTAATAGACACAATGGCATCCCCAGCACCGCAAAGAAGGCCTTTAGCAAAATATCCACATAATAAGCATAACTCACCCATCATGTCTCCTGGTAATCGTCGTCGAAAAGATGTCGGCGATTACTGGCTAGGCAAGACATTGGGAAGAGGTTCATCAGGTACATTATTATTCTACTACCCTTTTTGTATTAGGGCTAATATTCCTATAGGTCGCGTCAAGATTGGTATTCATAAAGTTACGGGTGAAAAGGTAGCAATAAAGATTATATCTAAATCTCATTTGGCTGCCAATGCCTCAGTTGAAAAGGCTGTAAAGAGAGAGATTGCAGTCATGAAATTAATCAGCCATCCTAATATTATGAGCTTATTGGACGTTATTGACTTGTCGGATTCTCCCAACCTGTAATACGAATATTTTATTTTTATAAAATGTAAACAAAATATATATTAACGCCCTCCCAAACCCTTTTTGGTAGATATTTGGTATTGGAATATGTTCAGGGCGGAGAATTATTTGAATACTTGGTGTCTCAAGGAAGACTTTCTGAACAAGAAGCAAGAAAATATTTTCAACAAATTATTATTGGTCTTGACTACTGTCATCGTCATTTGATTTGGTAAAACGTCCTTTTTTTGGTCAACATGTAGTACTCCTCATTAACATGTTTTCTTCTTCAGTCATCGAGATTTAAAACCAGAAAACTTGCTGCTTGATCGAGAAAAAAATATCAAGATTGCAGATTTCGGTATGGCATCACTACAGCCTACGGGTTCTTTATTAGAAACTAGCTGCGGGTAAACTAAACAGAAAAGAAGGGGGGGGGTGGGGAAGGGTTTACATATGTTTCTAAGTCTCTTATATTAGTTCCCCACATTATGCAAGCCCTGAGATTGTCAATGTAGTACAACGAAAATAGTAATCTTCACAGTATGAATTAACTTTTATTTAAAATACTTGTAGGGTATTCCATATGATGGATCAGCTTCGGATATTTGGTCTTGTGGAATTATTCTGTATGCGCTGCTAAGTGGACATTTACCGTTCGATGATGATAATATTAGACAATTATTGAATAAAGTCAAGGTTGGAAAATACAAAATACCAGAACATTTATCAGCTGATGCAAGAGATTTAATTACGAAAATTCTAGTCATCAATCCATCAAAACGATTAACGGTACTTGGCAAATTATAATCGTTTTTTTTTATATTACGACATAATTATTAATTATTCTTAATTATTCACAGATGAAACAAGTTCAAAATCATCCTTGGTTTACAGTAGACCCTCCTCCAAATTTAACAACTTTGCCAGACCCTCCCACTGCCACAGAAATTGGAAGACCTGTGGCAAATGCTTCGGAAATTGATGATCGAATCCTGGAAACTTTGAAAGTCTTGTGGACTGATTTATCTGCCGAAAAAGTTGTTGGTGCCTTATTAAATTCTGAGTAGGTTTGTAAGAAGATAATAGATAGCAAAAACAGCAAAAGAAGAGAAAAAAAAGCCGAGAAACATTTAAGGCCATGAATTGATTAGTTTATCTCTCTTTTTTTTTTTAGATACAACATGCAGA